CCTGTGAGGTTGGCAGCGTTGAACCATCACTGGAGGTGCTATAACAAGTACTTTGTACAGAAGAAAACAAAGAAAATCAAAAACTTGGAACTTAACATTTTCCCTGTTACATGTATAAGCACAATGTTGTATTAACAGTGCTTTTCTTATCAGGGTTCGACTGTACATGCACATGCACACTGAACATTGGGCAATGTACATGTACATGAAAAACTGCAGCGATTTCAGATTTTCAGTGCAGGCAGAAACACCAACGCACACAAGTGCGGCGTGTCCCTCTGTCCTCGAGCCACCCAACCGTGACTACTGTAGAGGGCTACAGAGCATGGCTTGCAACTCAGACGGGCGTTTCATCAATGGTGCCCGCCAGACAATAGGCGCATAGAGCCAACAATGATCTCGGCAATGTAGCCGAGAACAATTGTAAGGCTTGCGATGAGTGGACCCAAACAACCGGGTCCTCATCCCGGCTGTGTTTGCAACATGGGATCGGTGCAAAAAATCGCCCGAATTTGATCGAAGAATAAGGAGAACAAATCGCCCGAATTTGATCAAAGAATAAGGAGAACGAATCGGGTCGTACGATAGTAATCCTATTCCCGCTTGAGAAATGGACGCCGTTTGTCCATTGACATAATGATGTTGATGTATTCCACACACTTGATCCAAAGGAAGTTTGGGGAACACTTCGTCATTGTTAGATGTGAAGCCCGTCCCGCGCTTCAAAGATTTAAATTTATGATCAGGCGGAGGGGCTCATCAGCGGAGGGTAATGTACCCGTATCATGTCCCTCTACACAAAACAGACTTCCGTTTCTGTGATGGACAGCCGCTGTAATTGGTCTGGTTCTTCGTCATCATCGGCCGAGTCAGCAGATTGCGAAGATCGAGTTGACTCTGGTGAACGAGATCCGTCTGGAGGGGTGAGTTGTACAGAACCACGCGGCGGTGGCTGGACAACTCCCTCGGAGTAAAATAATAGACATCGATGGGTGAATACTTAACACATGCGGGGATTCCGGCGCACGGCTAACTGCGTGCGGTAGGTCCCGTTGTCTCCGGTCCACCCAACCGTGGCCCACGGCCGGCGAATGTGAAACACTCGCCATAGGCCAGGACTTCGGTCCACGCAACCATACGTGGTATCGGTCAGGGGGCGAGTTGACCTGACACCGTATCATTGTACATTGTGTACATGTACAAATGAACATGTGCAAATAAACATGTGACCAACGAATAACAACTGTGAAGCATTCACTGCAGATGGGACTCCGGAGCACGGCTATCTGTGTGCGATATGTCCCCTTGTTCATGGGTCACCCAATCGTGACCTGCGACTGAAGATTGTGAAGCAAAACCAACGGCCGAGGGTTGTGAGGTGTGGCTTGCCGCTTCAGGGCCTCACCACAGGGGCGTTTGCCCCGGTGGGACCAGTCAGAAGAGCCGCCAGCGTCTGAAGAAGAACAGCGTGATATCAGCGATCAACCTTCTTCTACTTCTTTGAAGAATGGCTCCGGGGTGTGTCAGAGGAAATGCCGGAAGACACCTGGGGCACCAGGACCCCCGAACAACGGATAAAATCCGATGACGAGAATGGTGCCTCAGAGCGAGATATAATGGGGGCCCGTCGGGCCGGGGTATCCCCAGGTGACAGGCTCTGCGTTGCTCATAGCATACCCGACCAACGCCTCAAGCCCCGTGGGCTGAGCGAGCGCTGGCCGTTCTGATAGCCCGTGAAATAGCCCGTCCCTGCAACCAGTGGTACTTGGCACTGTGTCAGGAGGGCATGGGTGACTATAGCCCACTGACGCGTGGCGGCTAATCCCCTCGGGCTGCCCCATGCTTGGGGAAGTGCAGGGGTATAGCGTAGCTCATATCATACCCGGCCGACAGCGTCTCAGGCCTCGTGGGCTGAGCGAGCGCTAGTCGGTCTGATAGCCCGTGCAATAGCCCGTCCCGGCAACCAGTGGAACTCACACTGTGTCGGGAGGGCATGGGTGACTGGAGCCCACTGAAGCGTGGCGGCAAGGGCTAGGGGCTATAGCGGCGCTCGTACCCGAGCCACGCTTGCCCTTTCGGCCCTTTTTAGGCTTCGCTCCGGCAGAGGAGGTATGTTTTGGAGGAACCTTGCCGGAGCGTGCCTTTTGTTTGGGTGTTCCGCTTGAATTGACCAGAGAAGGAGACCGAGGTCCCTTTAACTGGTCAGCGGAACTGCCAACGCCCCCAGCCGGCAGTGGCTGAGGGTGCTGGACGAGGGACTGCGGCCGTGGTAACGACGGAGCGTTACCGGCAGAGTCCCCCGAGAACTCGGTCCGTCCTGTGGGAGAGGAATTCCCCCGGTTTGTGACAGATCAGTTCTCCCCAAACGCTTCATACCAATTGAATAAAGTCAACAACTAAATCAAGAAGACGATGAGAAACTCTACAAATTGTTGTTATTTAACTCTTTTAATAAATAAACTTCTCTTAGGCGAAAAAAGGGTAGCAAAATGACGAGGAAAACAGGAGCTATTTTACACACGTCCTACCCGACCTGCCGCTATTAAGAGAAAAGAGGACGCTCACGAGGCACGCACGCCGCGGGGCATTATGAGTAGGACACCAAAGGGCACTATTGTATAAAACTCTTAGCGGAAAATACCTGCCGGTCTAGGGAATATGCAAAAGTAGTAATTGCTCTACAGGTAAGTAGAGTGAAGTAGACTCTGGACTTTTTCAGTTCACTCGGCTTCACCTCGTGAAATGGAAAAGTCCAGATTTTACCTTGCGATAATATTCCTCCCATTCCACGCTGATCCACTCAATATTTGTATACTATTTGGGCCACTTTTAATTCCTGAACATCAAACAACCCATAGTTACATTGTATTTGAACGTTGAAAGGCAATAGATGGCTATTATTTCTCCAAGGAATAGAAGGGAAAACCACTCTTGAGAAATGCCAGTTCACTATTGGTCAAGAGGGTACCGGCGGTTCAAAATCGCTATACCAAACAATCGTTATTACGAACACTTTCTGTGGATCCAACGATGTTCGTTATGGCGGCATTCCACCGTACTTCTGTGGCAATTTGAATACAGAGTTTGCATAAAAGTTAATATGTTAGTATATTTTCTGCCTACAAATAAGCTAACAGGCCGATGATACTAAAGCAAAGCCATAAAATGTGAGAAAAGTTAATATAGCAGGGGACACAGGTATGAAAATTATCTGCTAATGTACTTTTTCAATTTTTTTTCCATATAACTAGAGTGTATCATCCATTGTTTACATGCAATAAGTTTGACCCAAGAAAAGCCCATTCTTCCAAACCCCAAACAAATTTAAATAGTGAAACCCAGTATTTTCGGCTATATTTGAATTTCAAGCAATGTAAAAAACAATTTTTTTGTGATAGAAACTCAAAACTTGGCATAAATAATCTCTGAACCATGCTCTTCACATTAACATTCATTGTTAAAGTAGTTGTTAAAGCACGAGTTGAATATCACCATTTTGAGATATGTAACGGTTTGTAGTAAAATGTACAAATGTTGTTATGTTCATGGATGTTTCACAAGTTTAGAGTTAGATTTAAGCTCAGACTTTTACATTTCTTATACATATAACTAGTTTTGATGCTAAAAAAAAAAAAACATGTTTGAAGTGTGCTGACATGTTTTCATTTTTTACCCTATTGGTTGACACAAATGGGTACGTTAAAAAAAAACAGAGCCTTATGTGACTTGAGCGGTGATTGGGGCCCCACCAACCCACCACTTGGCGCAGGTGGAGGATGGCCCCCCAGCCAGAAAGGTATGAGTCCTTCAGGTCTAGGCTGGCCCCCCATGCTGATGTGTGGATTGACTCGAGGATAATCTTAAGTTTAGAATGGGGCACCATACGCTGGCTTCCTCCTTGGGCAACAAGAAGAGGGTCGACATAAACCCCGATCACATCCCCCAGGAAATTATGCGTACTACCGCTTTTTCGAGGAGGGAGCTGATCTCCACCTCGAGGGAGGGGCATTTCGTTGGGTTGGATGGTATTGGTGTTTGGTGGAACAAGCATGTCTGACAGGGGGGTTGCTCGAGCAATCGAATGCGTAACCGTGACTGATTGAATCGAGCAGCCACTGGTCAGACATGATAAGAGCCCAGGACCCCGCAAATTCTCGAAGGTGGCCTCCCAACGGGTCTGACAGCGGGAGGTCGCCATGAGTTGGGTGAGTCATTTACGCCAACCCCCGGATAATGGGGGGCAGTTGTCCAGGAACCACGGCCAGATTGGGGTCGTTGTTTGGTGAAAGCATGGTGTAAGACTGAGTCTGCGCGGAGCATGCACCGGACATATGCCAGTGCGGCCACGAAAGCTACTACGGTTAAACTACAGCGACCTGCGGCAGAGAATAACAAACAACAGTTTGTTCCTACCCTGGGCTGCCCTGGCCAAGGGGGTTGGCAGCTTCTTGGAAATGTTCTCAGTAGCCTTCAACAGCTTTGTTTCGGTTTGCATCAAATTGCCCCGTAAAATGATCCTTGTCTGGCCATTAGAGGGAGGGTCTCGAATATCTTTCAAGCGCCCTATGACGGGAGAAAAAAAAATATGTGCGCAACCTGAGCTGTTATGACTTTGTAGCCTCGAGCCTTGCGCATCTTTTGATACCAAAAACATAGAAATCGGACCACTGGTAGCCGCGCAGCGAAAATTTTTCCCATATATGTACTGTACACAGAGCAGAATTATCATTCGTGCATATGAATAATTAATTAGTCCTAATTCCAAAACCCTTTGACCTATAGTCATGACATGAAATTTCTTGGCTATGTTTATGATAAGTTGTTCTATGCACGTACCAAGTTTCATAATTTTTTGTCACTCGATGGCCGATGGAATCCACCCCCCCCCCCCCCCCCCGGCTGAGAGTTGATCAAAAAAGCTTGGCCCTTTCAGGGTTAAAACTATCCATTATCTCAGTGCTTTCCGCTGAACTATGTAAATCAACAGATATACGTTTGTGTCAATCAAGTTGAGGCCCTTTGGCAGCTCGAGCCCTCCCAATGATCTTGGTCCACATGTCCCGGTCCAGCATGCAGGAGCGCAGCTCTTCAGCGGTGGTCAAGCTGGTTTCCCGTTTCAGCATGTCCACGAAGGAGATATTTCTTCTCCCACGTGAGGCAGTGCCCAATGTGGTCTCCCAGAGAATGATCTGGCTAGCAGCCAGCTCGAGGTGACGGACGCAATGCCCTGCAAGCGTGACATGCCCCGGATCTTTTTCGTCACCTTTGGCAAGCCTGCATAGAGGTCTACATTTCTCATGTGATCCTGCCACAGGATGTTGAGGGCCATGCGCAGCATCCTGGTGTAACACCCATCCAGAGACTTCTCCATCTAAGTAATGAGGGTGATCAGTGATGACCACACCTTTTTCATTCTGTGGAGCAATGACCACACCTGTCCTTGAGGTCTTTCTCACTGGAGCTGATCCTAGCTCCAAGGTACTTGTAGTCAGATTCAACCTTGAGAGTTGTACCATCTCTCGTGCAGACAGCTGTGCCACTGATGTTATAGGCGAGCACCTTGGTCTTCTTTGTGTTCAGCTGTAGGCCAACCTTCAAACACTCCTCCTCAACTGATAACAAAAGGGTTCGAGCCTGCTCCACTGTATTTGAGACCAGTGCGATGTCATACGCAAAGTCCATGTCAGTGATCATCACATGAGACAATCGCCGGCTCTTGCGGGGCACTATGGTGAAACCCAGCTCCTCTTCTCTAATGTTGATGGCCTTCCTCAGGGCGTAGTAGAGTACAATGATGAAGAGAAAAGGGGCCAAGATGTCACCCTGAAGCACTCCTGTCAGGATGTCAAAGCTCTCTGTGACACCACCCACTGAAGTGACCTGGCCCGGCAGTTAGTGTAGGTCGCCCCAATGATTTGCACTAACTTACTGGGGAGTCCGTATGCGGTGAGGATGTTCATCATTTTGACCCGGTGGATAGTGTCAAATGCCTTGCGGATGTCAATGAAGGTGATGACTGCAGGAGGATGTTTATGCTTGACACCTTCAATGATTCTTCTCAACCAATGATGTGCCCCACTTAGAACCCATTCTGTGCTGTTCTAAGAAATGGGTCCATCACTGGCCGAATCCGGTTGAGCACCATCCTGTTAAAGGTTTTGGCGACAAAAGAGGTAAGACTTATCCCTCGGTAGTTGTCCGTACATGTGAGGTCACCAGACTTCGGAACCGGGATGATATTAATACTGCTTCACTGATCTGGTATCTCTCCCTTCTCCTATGCCTTGTGGACAAAGTCGAGTATGTGGTCGTGGATGGGGACATACTTCAGGACCTCTGGGACTACTCCATCCTCTCAACAGCATTTTCCAGCCTTGAGTGCCCCCTTTGCTTTCACATACTCCTCATCATTGAAGGGACCACCTTCGATGTCCAGGTCCTCGAACACATGTTCTACCTCCGCCTGCTCATCCATCATCTCTGGTTTATCACCAAGAAGGTTTCTGAAGTGGTTGAACCATGCCTCAACCCGTTGCTCATCGGTATCTCCCTTGACCAGTAATCTCGTGGATCAGCATACAGCTCATCGCATGCATTTGGTTGACCCGAGCTACTTCCACCTCCCTTATTTTCTGGGTAAGCATGCACCTCCTCTTCGATGATATCATAGGTTTCAACGAGGGCCTTCTTTTTGTTGGAGTAGACCACTCGATTGGTGAGGCTGAAGTCTGCTACAAGAGATCTGTAGGCCACTTCCATCTCCTCCCTGGCTCTGAAGACACAAGGATGCGATGAGGCTTTCGCCCTCCTCTTCACCTTGGGGACCTTGTCCATGCAGAACTCCCCGGCCTCCTCGTTTGCTTTCACAAACTTGTCATATCGGTCAGTAGCAGATTCCCCCTCCTCAGTCAGTACCTGGAACCGATTGTGAACTTTTATTACGTACAGCTCCTGCAGATCGCTGTTTCCCTTGAGCTTCTTCCATTCGTATACTTCACCCTTCTTGTGACTGGCTTTCTCGGTTTCCTCGGAGGCTGAGACGCACCTTTGTCACCACCACTCTATGATCTGATCCCACTGTAGAGAAGGTACTGTGGGCGCAAGAGTTAATAAGGCTATTTCGCCATTTCCTCCTGGTCAGGATGAAGTCGATCTGGGATTTCATCCCTGCTGGTGACAGCCACGTCCACAGCCTTCCCTTTCGCTTCTCAAACAGCGTGTTGTTGACTAGAAGAGAGTAGTCCTCAAATCGATCCAGCAGACGCACCCCATTGTCATTTGTAACCTGATGCAAGGTGAAGGAACGTCTCCCTGTCCCAGGGGGGCATTGAAGTCTCCAAGAATGGCAAGGAAGTGATGCTGGGGAACAGCCTCTACCGCTCGTCTAAGATCATCATAGTTGGTGTGTAGGCCACTATGGTGGTGAGGACTGGATTGCTTTGGAAAGAGGCAGTGATAACTATATCAGAACACCGGTTGACATGATTAACGACCTCTGTGCCTCTCTGCTCAGCATAAGCCTGACCCAGTTGCCGCCTGAGCTTCATTTCTCCAAGCCGATGCCGTGACAAGGTAGAAATCTTCAATCATGTTGGTAACCACGATATCTCTCATGCCATCAGCATGCACGTGCTCCTGGATCCCACACACGGCCACTCCGTGTCTCCTCATCCTATCCACTAGCTCCTTTGCTCTCTTATCCTCCCTGATTGTCTGCACATTCATTGTGACAAGAGACAAGCTCTTCTTACATCTCAGTAGTGCTTCGGCTGTCCAGCACCCGTCGGCTCCCCTTCCCAAGGAGTCCTTGGGGTTTGAGGGAGCACCATCATCATTCTCACGAGGTGAGCGTGCACGAATTCCCTCTGCTGTTCTCCTGCAGACTCCGGCTGCTGGAAGTATACGATTCTTCATTGGATTTAAGATCATGATCATGGGCATTGCGAGGGGGGGGGCAAGGGGGGGGGCTTGTTCCCCCCCCCCCCCGAAAAAAAAGAAAAAAAAAAAAAAGGGAAGAAAAAAAAAGAAAAAAGAAACAGAGGCGCAAAGTCATACTGGAATTTTTTGGAAAAAATATGTTTTGCCCCCCTCTAGAAAAAAATCCTGGCGACGCCCATGATCATGATTAGGCTTTTCTTTTGTGAAAGTAGTGCTGGGGTGGTCACAACTCCTCTCCCGAGACGGGTGGTTTGAGGTTAGAGTTTTCCTTCTCAAAGGAGGGCTGCCTTCCCAGGTTTACGACAGCCCCTGGGATAACGGGGGTGGCGCCCAGGAACCACCGCCAAATCGGGGCCATTGTTTACCGGGGAATGACTGAGTCTGTGCGACCTGCGTAGCTGACGTGTTGTCGGCGCGGCCGCAAAAAGTACGGTTAGATTTCAGTGGTTTGCGGCATGGAATAATGAACAATGGTTTGTTCTTATTCTGTGCTATTCTAGTTGTGGGGGTTGGTGGCTTCTTAAAATTAATCTTTTCAGTAGCCTTCAACCGCTTTGCCTCAGCCTGCATGCAATCCTTGAATTTCCCGGTGAAGAGATCCTTGCCCTTGAGGGGGAGGGACTCGAACCTCTCGAACCGGCACATGGAGGTCGCTAAGGTCGACACTCATGCAAATTGGTCAAGCACCGAGCGAAGACCTTGGTCGAGGAGTAAAGAGCAGCAGTCATCATGTCTACCGGAATTGTGGAGTCATCTTCATAACCTAAAGCCAAAGACTCCGTGCAGAGAAGTAAGAAGGAGGCGGATCGCAAGCTTAAGCGGGAGGCTGAATCCATTTTCTTCAGAGTGTCCTCAAGCTCGCCGCGTGTCTTATCCACGAAGGGCCGCTTGATTGTCAAAGTCCTCTCATCCGCTGCCAGCTTATCTTTTGCTGCCTCCGGGAGGGAAGGCGATTGAAAAAATTATTGATATCCGTGGGATAAAAACGATAATAATCCCGCTGACTTCTAGGGAATGGACGCCAATTATCAGCGGACATAATGTTGTCAATGTGTTCCACGCACACTTGATCTAGTGGAAGTATGGGGAACACCTTGTCGCTACTTGTTGTTGAGCCCGTCCTGCACTTTATGTTCATCAATGGAGGGTTACTTAAGTACCAAAATCATGTCCCTCTGCACCAAACGGAGTTCTGTTTCTTCTGTTGCTATTGGTCTGCCTCGTCGTCGTCATCAGATGAACCACCCGAGTGCGAGGGCTGGGTTGACTCCGGTGAACGAGAGCCGACTGGAGGGGCGAATTGCAACAAACCACGTGGGCAGTGGCTGTGAAACTCCCTCGGAGGCAATGGACAAAGGCGGGTGCAGACTCAATGCAGGCATGGACTCCGGAGCACGATTAAGCATGTGCGGTATGTCCCTTTGTCCTTGGGCCACGCAACTGTGGCCAATGGCTGACGACTGTGGAACGCTGACTGCAGGTGGGGAGATCAGGGCACGGTTAACTGTGTGTGGTATGCCCCTTCGTCCTTGGGCCACCCAACCATGGCCAATGACTGACGACTGTAATTCTACCCAGTTTGTGACAGGCCAGTTCTCTCCAAACGCTTCATTACTATGAACTATTTACTCAATAAGACGAAAACTATACTCTACAATAATCTTTCTTTATCAATACTTCTCTTAAAGGCGCAATAGGGTATAAAAAAACCCGATGAAAATACAGAGCATATTTTTATACGTAGGTACGAAGCATATCACACACCCACATAATTCCATGGCACATCATTTCAGGGGGTCTGTCAAAGTCGCTGCACTGATATGGTTCCGATCTTGAGGTACAGTAATTTTGCATGCATTACTTGAGATGAACTAGACTGTTTTCTTGCTTGTTTGTTGTGCAAATTCGCTACAATTGTTTTTTAGTCTGTTCGGCCATGAGCACAATCTTCTGTTTTGAAAATGTTCATCACTGATTAGTTTATGTCACATACAAGGGCGGAAATCGCTCCTTGAACGTGGGGGGGACAGGTTTTTTTTTCTCCCCGAAATTACTCACAAAAAGTCACAGGCTGAACGGACAACTTTCCACTCGTAATATTGCCATGGGGTATGGCAGCCATAGCGATAGACTTGAAATCAAGTCTGTAATGAGTGGTTTTAATCGCGTCCGCCGCAAGGGCGGATCCAGAACACAATTTTTGGGGGGGGGGGCAAAAAAACGTTTGGTCCCGCAAAAAAGTGGGTCCAAAAAATTACGGCGTGGGGTTTCGTGAAAAAATTTTGGATTCTAGATGCTCTGTGATGCGATCTGAGGCAATTTCTGACCACTTTAACTAATTTTTTTGGGGGTGTACTCATTGCCTGCCTTTATTGCGATGTCACATAAAAAAAAAAAATTGGTTTCGTTTTTTTTTTGGGGGGGGGGGCGGGGTCATGGCCCCCTTGATAATGCAACAATATATTTCTAAACCTCATTGTGTGCATCGGGCATTTTGTCATTGCGGTTCTGTAACCTTAAAAATGGGCACAAACCGCGAACGAGTTCGTTTTCAGGGTGATTAGTTAAACTACAACAAGCCACATGGGCCAAAAGGAACTTACATTTACAGTCGGCGCGCACTTCATTTTTTGAAGGGGATTTACAATTATTCGTAACAGTTTCAACTTCCATAATTACTTAAATATTACTCCTTTTATTCAAAGACAGTTGCAAAAGTACTAATATTATCTACAATGTTACACGCTTTTACTGTAATTTTAAAAACAGGACTGCCAGATAAAATGAAAACTTGAAAATGATCGATGGTGTTTCTTCGTAAGCCAGATGGGCTACTATTGGCCCTCGCTATGGAAACATCATGCATATATGCATTACAGTGGCTGCACATATGAATATTCGCTTGAAAATGTCTTAGTCAAGTCGTTAGACACATACTGACCATGCCGCGCGTTAGTACATGACTTTTGCATGAATGGTTGTAGCGCTGACGTTGCATGAACGGCGGTGGTATGTATGAGGCGCCATGTGTATATAATGCAAACTGCCAAACAATTATTGAATTATAATGAATATATATAAATAATTTTGTTAAATAATTTATTTACACATGGCGCCTCATAGTATGGCGGATTTTGGCGCTGATCGATGACGGACATAAACCACTATAGTCTAACGACTTGTCATCAAGTCTATCATAGCGATTGCGGGCCGGAGTGGGGCCGAATTTGTATAGGAGTAGCAAATTATATGACGTACGCAGGCAACATTGTGTATAACGTATACCGCATGAACCAACACGCACGTACTGTACATGTACGTGGGTAGGCGTACAAGAGCTGTGGTCAAACCTACAAGAAAACCAAATTGGTTCTCAGCCACAAAGCGACGTATCAAAGAGGCTTTTCCCTAAGACTCTGCCATGGTTGGTCACCCACCCATACCTACACATGAAAACATGGAGGGGACATTCGACATTGTGTCCCCCCTTACCAAATTCATGAGGGGGACGTGTCCCCCCTGTCCCCCCCCCGGGATTTCCGCCCATGGTCACATATAATATCATTCTACATGTATGTACCAACCCTTTTAAGAGAATAGAAAACAATGCTGGGAATTCTTAGTGGTACACGTCCGATATTAATGACGCTAAACAAATGCTGTCAGGCAGTAGACAGAGAAGATCAGATTGCATTTGGTGTATTATTTTATTTATTTATTCATTTAATCATGTTTTGAAAATCATCTTACTCTTGAAGTTTTTGCAGCATGGAACATGTTTAATTAAATATATCAGGATACATATTGTATCATTTAGCATGTATCATAAGTATCGTGACACAAGTGTATCATTTCAGCCATAGTTTCAGCCTTCTGTGAACACTCACCTTTGGCGTCACCTGATGACAGGGGGACGGTGTTGGATGCGCCGGCATCGCCATAACGACACCTTCCACAGCACTGGGGCCAGCAAGAGACTCAGTGTTGTTACACTCAGAATCAATAAGTACACCTGGAAAGAGGAGTGTGTTTACACATCAATGCAATAAGAGTGACAGAGATTCAGGTTCATGACATGTAGGCACAGTGGCTCTTTCCTCGCCTTCCACCTCTACATCTCAGGTTCGATTCCTGCCTTGGTTCACATGTACATTGGGTTTCAGTCTCTACCTGATTCTGTGGGTTTCCCCAGCATATTTCTTCTTGTTACACTCTCTCTCTACAGCTTTCTCCAGGCTTGCAATATACAGTGCCTCGGGTGCTTTTGTCAAATTCCCTAACCCACAGAGGTGTGGGCTGATTCTACTAGTGAGTACTTTACCCGTAGAGCATTACTACCGAACATGCAAGAGGGTGTTAGCCATTTGCTAAGATTCATTTCCCACAGTACCTTGCCGCCCACCCCCGCCATAACACATCCATGAGTGAGTGCGCATGCGTGAATTGTATAGTAAGATCTCCACATCGCTGCTGAAATTTGGGTAAAATTTACACCATAACTCCACAATTTACTCTCCCAAATGTGGTTTCAGTGCTGAATCTTTCATTCAAGACCATGTTGGTTTGTTTTGGCTTTCACCACCTGGATTCTGGTCGAGTAACATCACTTAGCATTTTTTTCACCACACAATTGTTGTTTTCTCCATCTTGACAATATGGGGGCCACCATGGAGTAGAACTCTAGCGGGATGGCGTCAGGTGTGAGTAATAATTTGCTGGGTTGTGATAGGTGACCTGTATTGTTGTTTGATCTCTCATCTTGTAGAAAGGAAGGATTCATCCCCGTGAGTATGCTACTTTTAATCACCGGGATGGTGTTGTCTGCAAATTTCTACAATTTTGATGATGAATCTGTTACAATTAACTTCATTCATTTGTATGTAGTGATGTTTGTGTGGATGAATATCCATCATGATTTGACTATGGTACGCTGGTTGGGGATCGTGCATCTTCTCTACCATGCAAAAAAGCTTCAAGTTCAAATACTTCCCTGCTATACCATTGTTGCTTAGGAAGAGAAATAAAACTCAATTACCAGTCTGGATGCAGATTTAAAACTTTGATTAGTCTACATGTGTCTACTCACCGTACTCCAAACTGGAGACACTGAGCCCAAACCAGGACCCACCCCACTTAGTCCTAGTAACCCACATAATGCAGTAGATAACCCGATGTATGTGGGAAGATAGAGCAGTGCAATGTGACCAATGTGAAAATGCAATGAGTGGTACCATGCCAACTGCATGAACATGAATACAATAGTCTACGAAGCACTCAGTTAACAGGAAAGGGAAACATCTTGGATTTATTTCTTACTACCCACCCCACTTTTGTCGAGAAGTCCTCTGTTTTACCTGGAATGAGTGACCACGAGGGTATTCTGTGCGTGATCCTGACTACCAAACCAAGGAAAGTTAAACAACAGCCAAGAAAGATTTTCTTGTACAAAAAAGCTTTAACACCACAGACATGAAAAAGACCTCAACAAGCTTAGCAAGGACTTTGTGAAGAAATATGACAATGTTGACTGTACTGCAGATGATCTTTGGTGCGACTTCACGGCTGGGCTGAGTATGCATGGACAAATACATATCCTCTAAGACAGTCACCAGCAGAAGTTCTCCCCCTTGGCTAACACAGAAGATCAAGAGTGCGCACAAACGAAAACAACGGGCCTACAACCACTTCAAGAAAACCAGAGACCCAGAGGATGAGGTGAACATTACGGCGTGGGAATTCTAGATGCTCTGTAGTGCGATCTGAGGCAATTTCTGACCACTTTAACCAATGTTATTTTTGAGGAAAAGATGGTGGTGCAGTCATTGCCTGCCTTTATTGCGACGTCACATAAAAAAAAAATTGGTTTCGTTTTGGAGAAGGGGGGCCCATGGCCCCTTTGCCCCCCCCCCCCGATCTGCCCTTGTGTTGCCATGGCAATTTTGATGCTGCAAAAATTCAACTATATCACAAAAAAGCATCATCCTTACACTTACAAGAAAAAATTAGAAACACTTTTCAAAAAATCACTTTTATATTATTTTTAGGCCCTACAATACAGCATGTTTTTACAACTAGCAAAATTGCATTTTTTACCACATTTTTAACCCTCCAAATTGCCACTTGCCAGGGCACTCAGAATATATACTTTTACCCTTTCAAGGGTAAAAGGTCTTATACTCAGCGAACGCTTTTATCCCAGTGTTAGGCCTCTGTGCGTGCTGTCTATATAAAATAACAATCTTACGCACAGCCTGTGACCCACAAATGAGCATATCTCGGTCACTGAACTTTTTGCCACATCTTGTGTGGCGCGCTTAGCTTATTACAGGCTCGGACGTACGGGTTGGCGCCTAATAAGGGATAATTATGCAAAGGGCTAAAGTTCACGGGCATGTAAATTGCGATTCTTAGGTGCCCGTCCGGACGTTGGGCGCTCGGCGGGCTGTAATCATACGGCCACTCTGTCACAGCCATCCAAAGCGTGTACAGACAAAAAGTCTGTTCTTTCAATTTTCACCCACCACCATCCCCTTAGCTCCACCCACACAACATATTCAGTTTTTCAAGACATGTATAGTGCTCGCTAGTGTCATGAGATTATACATGTGATTTCCTTAGGAGTACCTCCTGGTTCATTGTACATTTGATTCCATCGATTAGTTTGTCTGGCAATATTTGCGGATGCAGACAGCCAGTAACCAAATTACTCATATTTTGGGGCATTTAAATATAATGTATAATTGTTATACAAATTTAAATTGTTGCCATAGCACTCAAAAGTTTCCCGAGGCCATGCTTTCCTGACTGAATGTAACATCGGTTGGAAGCTATCGTGTGTCAATCCACGTGTGAAATGTGATTTAAGCACCAAGTTGACGTGCATTTGGCTCATGTACATGTAGCTTGGGCATGTTATGCCCATTGTTTTGGGCCTGGGTGCCCAGGGCATGTTATTGCCCCAGGGCATGTTATTGCCCAATGGCATGTTATTGCCAATTTCTGGTCGGGCCGTGTGTTGCCCAATGGCATGATATTGCCCATTACTGCTTGGGCCTAGTGTGGCCCACTATTAATAACTTTTAATACTGACAACCGGTATGCCCAATCCTGGTATCCGGAAAAATAAAACACTACTTTAGGCTGTGGCATAAACTCAATGAATTGTCTCTTTGTTGCTTAATTTGTGTCTGAGTATAATTTCTCTTTGGCTATGGTTAGTTCAGACATTGGTCTTTTAATATCTGGTGAGAAAATCTTGGGTTAATGTACATCCTTCGTGCAGTAGTGCTCCAAAAATGGTAATTTTCACAAAAACCTTAAAAAGTGTATTTTCATTTTTTCCTTTGTTTTGAGTAATAACATGTATAATTGGAATTGTTCCTAAATCTAGCACAATGTCACAAACAGAATCACACTGTTAGACCAGTGGATGAATAGTAGGTCGTATAGTCCCCCCCCCCTCCCGGCTAGGCCCCGCCCACTCCCCCTCTACCACCGAACTTAGATCTTGTATGTTGATTGCATAATGAAACAAATGTAAATAAATAATTTGCAAGTGAACACTTTAGAAATAATACAGAATTCCTTTTCACAGCCTCCCTCCCCCCCCCTCGGCCCTGGGGCATTGAGTGGGGTTACGGATGGGGTATGACAACCCACCAATAACTTGGCTTTGTTGGTAAAATCATTGTAACGTCAGCAAAAATCATGGTGACCTTGACCTTTGACCCCAAAACCAATCTCAACTTGCCTACTCCCAAGGACAATCCCCTACCAAAGTTAGACACCAAAATCTCATTTTTAACTCAAGTGATCATCCGGAAACCATTGACATTTAACTGACCACGGTGACCTTGACCTTCGACCTTTTGACCCCCAAACCAATCCAAACTTGCCTACTCCCAAGGGCAATCCCCTACCAAAGTTAGACACCAAAATCTCACTTCTACATATAACTCAAGTTATCATCCGGAAACCATTAACATTTAACTCACCATGGTGACCTTGACCTTTAACCTTTTGACCTCAAAACCAATCCCAACTTGCCTACTCCTAAGGGCAACCCCCTACCGAAGTTACAATCCCATACAACATTTCTAACTCTTAAAAGTTATCATCCGGAAACTAAGCTGCCCGGACGGACGGGTGGACAACCGGGCAGATGAGACAACCGGGGTGATGGCATTGTAGTCCTTTTATCCCTTTTTATAAAGATTTCACATCCGGGGTGATGTCTTTCTATAGATTTCACATGTAGAGTGCATGTCCAACAAAGAAAATCACCCCACATGTGGGGTGTGGTTAGGGCGGACGGCCCGACGGACGCCCTATGGACGGACGGATGACTACGGACGGACGGATGACAATACCCCGCGAGCCTCTCGGCTGAGGGGTAAAAAAAACAGTGTACATAATTCAGACTTTCCCCAAGGCCATATGCATTTATGAAATCTGAACATAAGCCTTTCTTTTTGTTAAGATTTTTCTTTCTTCTTCTTCCTTTTCTTCTTCTTCTTTTTGTCGCCTAAACCCCATAGACTTTGTACACATTTTTTCTCAACGCCACTTTTGGCATTAATCTTTGTCGTACATCATTCAAAGTCAGCATAGGCATAGTCCTTATAGCATAGTTGTGTCCCGAAGAGTGACGTCATCATGACGTCAACATGGGTCACGTGACGTCATCACAAAAGTGCAAACTTTAAGACCCTATATCTAAAGAACTGTAAGCCCGATTGGGTTGAAACTTGGTATGTAGGTAGACCGGGATGTATTATAGGTAAAAATTGAGGTGACGTCATGATGATGTCATCGAGCTATTTTATATGATTTTTTTTGCATTTTTGGACCTTTAAGCCATATCTCTTGAACGCAACATGCAAAATTCAAAATTCTTTTTGTATTATGTTTGTTAAGTAAAAGGTATATGCACACAATTTTGAAAAATGTGTGACGTCATCATGACGTCATCAAAAATGTGATTTTTAAAAACATATATAAGGGAAAGTCCGA